GGTAAATAAAACCTGTCTGTTAACTACTGTTTCTTTCCACAACTAATAATATGACGAAAACAATTTGCTGGCAAAGCTTTTTTGTCATGACAATACAGTAATAACTTTGGCTCTTAAAGGCCAAAAACATGACGAGACATGTGACAAACATGTGGATGATGACTCATCTGAGAAACAATCAATGACATTTCTCCCTGTTATTCCTCTAATCTGTCAGACAAAAGCTGATTAATCACCAATTCTGCTCCCCATCTTGTGCTTATTTGGCCCAGCGCTCCACCACCTGAGAGTGAGCGACCGCTACGTGGTAAAAGACTAGAGTTTGGTGCGTGGACACCATGGAAGGTCATATGGTAACTTAAGATAGGATCCCTTGGAAAGAAAATCAAATAAATATAAATCAGATTAAAACCACACAAAAACTTATGTAGAGATCTCATTGATTTGAAATCAGCTAAATGGTTCCCCCTGCAGGTGGTGGGACCACTGGGGGATGTCATTGTGTCGCTCCTATGGACTGGGCCTGGGCAGGTCACATAAAGCAGAACCTGATCACTGGGCGATAAATCCCAACCCCAGGCCTGGCTCCAGGGTGGGGCCTCCGCCATACTGGCCAACATCACCTGCCTCAGTTTCTTTGTCTTCATGGGGGCTTTCTGAACTGCTCTTTTTCTGACCTGTCACCCAGAACCTGTTAGCCTTCAGATCCCTAGCAGGGGCATTTAAGCTCCCATCAATATAGCCTCTGGGATCAGCTAATCACTGAAACCCCTCCACCACATTAAGGTGGCAGTTCAAGGAGGGTGTGACTAAAACTAAGCATTTTTTTTTATCTAAAAGACTAAACACTTAAAAGGCTGCCAAAAAAAAAAACTGCATTCAACTTTGAAAAGACTTTGAGGTAAACTATTTTACCAAGTCTGAAAAATATATAAAATAGTTGAGAAACTATTTTATTCCTCATTCTGGATAAATTGTGCATAAATTGGATGTAAATTAATTTCTTAAATAGGCTAATAGCTATGTCAGCTTATAGCTGCTTAAGGACCAATCATTCTGCTTTGTTCCATCTTTATTCTCTAATTCTGCAGTATTTTCTAGTTCAACCTCTAACTTTTTGTTCTCTCAGTTTTATGTTGTCATAGTTGCATAGTGTCATCTGGCCTGGTTCTTTACTGCTGTGATATCTTTAAAATGAAAATATCAGCTGGGCTGCTGACATCTTCATTTGTAGATGATTTTTTGAGTCTGTTTTATAATGTTTAGTCCTAGATATAGTTATGGGGTCAGATTTTGGTTTGACTAACTATATGTGATCCTCCCTTTCACATAAAAACTAGACCTCTTCTGCTTAAATTTTCCCCAGACAGAGCCACCTTTGGATCCAGTTTACTGTTATCTTTTAAAATAAAAAATACTGCAGTCAGAGCTCATATTCACTCGTAAAGAAAGTGGAGAACATTCCAAAGAATGGCCGACCAAACAAAAATACTTCAAGAGACTCAACCAGTAGAGTGGAAATTTTTGGAATGAATACAACCTGTTATATCAGGCACAAAACCAACATAACACTGCGGGGAAATAACATCAATATTTAAACACTAACTGACAACCTGCTCTAACTGAGGGAAACATAAATTAGCATGTAATGAGAGCATCCTTCAGGAAAATGTCAGGCCATATGTTCTCTGTCTAAAGCTTAAGTCCATTTTGGTTTTACAGGCTACTGATTAAAGCACACCAATGTGAACAGCCAACAAATGTGCAAAGTAGCCTTTCAGGTCCAACCAAGTCTAAATTCTGTGGTATGACCTTAAGCAGAATTTCGTGTTTAGAAAAGAATATTCAATTAGATTTCCTCCACAGCAAAGTAAAAAGACTCCCTGTGTACGGTGGCTGAGGGTTGCAAACACTGTGAATATGCTGTACATGATTGAAAGGGGTCATGGAATGAAAAACCCAGTTTACATTGTAATTGATGAATAACAATAGTTTAGTGGGTAAAATGGACGTACAGAGAAATTCAAACCCCATCGACACCTCCTTTCTCTGCAAATCTCACAATTCTAAACATCCACCATAAAACAGGCGAATTCAGCCTGCTTTACCGTGCTTCACACCGGGGGACGAGCGGCTACCGTCACCGGGTCTGGTTCGGCCACTCCGCCCCCCACTGGCTCCCGCCGGAGTACCCGGACCAGCGCCAGAGCTGGCAGCTCGGTTCTGCTGCACTGTATTTGACCAAAATCCGAGACGATTTTGAAATTCCCCCCTAGACATTTTTTGAGTATTAAAAGTAGAACATGTCCGGGAAAAAGAGGACGTCTGGTCACCCTACCATATCAACAATTTGATGTTTCAGTGAGAGAGTGCTTGTTGCTATGATGCAGCTTCGCTCGTTGTAAACCAACCAATCAGAGCACAGCTCATCTAAATATTCATGACCATACAATAAAAGGAAAAAAAAACTGTCGTTTTATTCTAGGGCTTTTAACCAGGCTTGCATTAGGGCTCATAGAACAGCAAATATGCCATTTTCAGCCCAACCAATATTACCCTATTTAGAGACCTTAAGGACCAGCACCAAATACCCTATAGCAGGCATCCCCAAACTCGGCCCTCGAGGGCCGCTGTCCTGTGGGTTTTAGAGGTTTCCCTGCTTTAGCACAGCTGATTATCATGATTGCAGTAGAGCTGAAGCCTGTTAATCAGCTTTCAATTAAAATCAGCTGTGCTGGAACAAGGAAACCTCTAAAACCTGCAGGACAGCAGCCCTCGAGGACCGAGTTTGGGGATGCCTGCCCTATAGAATCATTCTATGACCCTTTTAACAGCAAATTGTAAAAGTCCTGCAGGAGAAATGCTACGATCACAAAAAATATAAAGCAGCAAAGTAGAAACGCCCTGCAAATATAAAACTTGTTCAAAATACATAAATAGTTTTAACACACAAAAAAATGCTATGGGTAAAAACAACTGCAAGAAGCATAATCAAAGTGATCCGGCCCACCAGGGGGAGACGATCAAAAACACATATGGGGCTAGACCCTTAGCTAGCTTAGTATTCAAGTATGCAGGAATGGGTTTCACCTCAGCCACAGTAACTATGAGCTTCTAGGAAGTCAGAAATCTACCAAATGTGCACATCTGTGAAAAATAATAATAAAAAGCAAATCAGGAGCACAGAGAAGGAGAAAACAATAATGAGTATGATATATTGGGGCCCCTAAGCTATATTGAATCTGTTTGCATAGAACATTGAAAATACATTTGGAGAGTAGTTAACATGAACTTTTAGTAGAATTCTGACTTCACAGTTTCTCTTAAAGCTACAGTGTGTAATTTTCAGCGACATCTAGCGGTCAGACTGCAGACCGCAGCAACATGAACATCTCCCCCGCACCGCTTCTCCCCCCCAACAGTACGGCGAGCGTTACGGGACAAAATGTCTTCCACGACGTCCGCATCACCTACCTTCTCAAGTGATGAGGTTTGTTTACATAGATAATTTTACAGATAGTATTTCATTAGTCTGTGTAGGGTATAGATTTCATGTAGACTTTAGATAATAAATATACCCGTTATTTTTTCTACATCGTTGTGACGTTTTGGTGAGCTGCTTTGCATGGTGATATAAACAGACGAAGTAATTGTAGTCATTAGTTTAACAGCGAGATTGTGTTCGCTGGAAGAATATATATTCCCCGTTTACAGAGTCCAAGTCATTTTGGTGGCACGGGGGTTACAAGGCGAGGAAGAGGGAGAGGACGAGGGCGAAGGCAGGGAGGCCGTGCAGCCAGGGCCAGGCGAGGGAGGGGTGCCAGCGGGGTGAGAGCAGAGGAGGAAAGGCTCGAAGATCTCCAAAGGAGCCGGAGAGAAGTAACCGAGGTATATATCCAGAAAATTATTTTACAGAAAATTACTGAATCATTACCTGTGAAACGTCAGGGACGTTGCTGAATAAGTATACTGGAGAGTAACAGCATCATCACGCAGCATGTTATTGTTTTAGACAGGTCTGAGCATCCTGTACTCCAAAAACTGCAGTGATATTAGACAATTGTGTGTAGGATTAATTACCTGTCCAAGAGAAAACTGGCAACTTGAGCGTCACTTTGAAAACCTTTCTCCTCCATCAGTGACTTCCATCGTGTAAATGCCGTGCCAATGTTGATCCGTGTTTTTTGTCGTTTCTTGTCACGCTTGCGTTTATTCTCGTCGTGTTTCCGCTTCTTAGATGACGGGGGTTCGGTGTCCGCCGCTTTTCGTTGTGATACAGAGTAGGCATGATCCTCCATTCGTCTGATGTTTGGCCACACAGTGCCAAACAGTTTGCAAAGTCACTCACGCCTGCCGCCTTGTTTACCTTTCTTGTTACTGAGGCGCAGTATACCTGCTTCTTCTTCTTCTTTGGTTTCAGGCAGACTAAACGCTTCTCAGGCATAATACTGCCATCTACTGTTCAGTACCGTCTCAGTTCATCTCTCTCAACTTGCCGTAGTTATTTTCGAGCGTCATGGGAGATCTCGCAATCGCTAGTTTGTTGCCTCTGCGCTTGCCGTAGCGCAAAGATGTCAGCCTCCATGGCTGCGAGACCCGCTCCTATGTAATTATAAATAACGAATTCTAAGGCAACGCAAATATTATGGTTAAAAGGCTGAGCTCGTAGATGATGATAAATAACATAGTTATGTATAATATATTAAATTTCTGACTTTATATGCCTGTAATTATTACACACTGTAGCTTTAACTTTTCAGAGCAGCAATTACCACAACGCTCTAGCAGTAATTAGATAAAAGGTTAATTCATTTTACAGATATGAAAAGGTTAGTTTCGTCTCAAAATTAAACTAAATTGCCATTTAATAACGGATGTCTGTATTTACTCTGTTTTGATTGTAAATGTGTTAAAAAGGTGTGTAGAAAAAAAAATGCCAAAGAAAGTCTGTAGATACCGGAGCTTAAAATGAGCTCCTAATGAGAGAGCAACACACTCACATAGACACGGGTGGGGTCAAAGGGACACTCGTTGGTAATGCTGGAGTCGTCGATGGCGTCGGGGAAGCGGCAGTGAGTCAGGAGCATCCGCCCGCCGTTAATGACCGCCTTCACTACTGACACCAAGAGTCCAACGGCCGTACCTCCTGCCACCAGTGATGAAACCAGACTGATGGAGAACAAGGACCACGTCTGTGAAAGGAGAGGAGGCTCAGCTGTAATGACCAACAGGGAAACGGTTGTCCAATAATGTCATTCAACATACTACATAAAACACATCCTACAATAACGACACAAACTGAAAAAGTTTCAAGGGTTAAAACTTTTTTCGGCGTCGGATGGATGGAAACATAATGTCCCAGAGGTGTTCTATAGGATTTAGGTCAGGCAAGCGTGGAGGGCCAATTAATGGTATCAATTCCTTCATCCTCCAGGAACTGCCTGCATACTCTTGCCACATGAGGCCGGGCATTGTCGTGCACCAGGAGGAACCCAGGACCCACTGCACCAGCATAAAGTCTGACAATGGGTGCAAGGATTTCATCCCGACAGTTAATAGCAGTCAGGATGCCGCTCTCTAGCCTGTATAGGTCTGTGCGTCCCTCCATGGATATGCCTTCCCAGACCATCACTGACCCACCACCAAACCGGTCATGCTGAACGATGTTACAGGCAGTATAACGTTCTCCACGGCTTCTCTAGACCCTTTCATGTCTGTTACATGTGCCCAGGGTGAACCTGCTCTCATCTGTGAAAAGCTCAGACTTGCCAATTTCAGTGTTCTGTGGCAAATGCCAGTTTAGCTCCACGGTGCCGGGCAGTGAGCACAGGGCCCACTAGAGGACGTCGGGCCCTCAGGCCACCCTTGTGAAGTCTGTTTCTGATTGTTTGGTCAGAGACATTCACACCAGTGGCCTGCTGGAGGTCATTTTGTAGGGCTCTGGCAGTGCTCCTCCTGCTACTCCTTGTACAAAGGAGCAGATACCGATCCTGCTGATGGGTTGTAGACTTTCTACGGCCCTGTCGAGCTCTCCTGGAGTAACTGCCTGTCTCCTGGAATCTCCTCCTTGCTCTTGAGATTGTGCTGGGAGACACAGCAAACCTTCTGGCAATGGCACGTATTGATAAGCCATCCTGGAGGAGTTGGACTGCTTGTGCAACCTGTAGGATCAAGGTAGCACCTCATGCTAACAATAGTGACAGTGACCCTAGCCAAATGCAAAACTGGTGATAAAGAGTCAGAAAAAATGAGGAGTTTTTCAGTGCACCTGCTAAGGCGTTGTCTAAGACAAGGGTGTAACTTTGTGTTGAAAGTTGGTGGGGACGGCTCATAAGGAAAGGGAGCTACCTGCGCAACGCCTTTTTTTTTTGTTGGAAAGGATAAAGCCAAAAAAATGCGAATAACATTTATCAATTTAATGCTTACAGTTGAAAACATAACTGTTACAATATTCACTTATATATTTTGTGCAAAAAATATCACATAAATCTAAACAGACAGTACAAATCAAAGAAATCAAATAAATATATCAATTTTGTAGAACATTTATTGATGGTCAATTTTGGGTCACTTTTTAAAATTAATTTACTTTTAAACCAGGACTCGGACAAGATCTTATGGGACCTTAAGCAGAATATGATTAAGCAACTCCGTCTTTCTGTCAAGAACATCCACCAGCAGGGTATCCAGGGGGGGATTTACCATTAGGCAATACTAGGCAGTTGCCCAGGGCCCCAAGTTCTGGGGGCCCCATAAAACTCTGTTTCCCTGTATGGTTAATACAACTAATCCTTATTTGTGCACATTAATTATGTTTTTGATAAAAATCCTTTGGCTAAAATGCCATCAGAACGCTGATAAATAGAGAGGAAAAAGGGACAAGAAGAGAGGGACAAAACCTAGAACAAATAATGGATGTCTATTCTATTAACATTTCTCTATCTGTAGAATGGGTCTGTTTTATGGGTTTACTTCTCAGGGGGCCCCCTGCCTGTCTTTGCCTAGGGCCCCAAATTTCCTAAATCCGCCCCTGAGGGTATCAATACTGATTTGATAGAATCTGGGAGAGCGGACTATGTTCAACCATCCATTTTCTTTAACCTTATCCCTCAGTGGGATCAGGAGGTGCTGGTGCATATCTCTAGCCACGTTCTGGGTGAGAGGTGGGATCGCCCTGGACAGGTCACCAGTCTGTTGCAGTATGTTCAACCAGCTTAAAAGTAATCAGTAATCAGATTTATTATTTGCACTTTTACTAAGTGAACTTTCTAACTCCCTTAAATCTGAAATTCCAATGCCAAAATTGTTTAAATCTTTTATCTTTGGACCCCCTGCAGAGTGACGTCACACCTGCAAGATCCTATCCTTACCTTCCTGCTAGATTGCAAAAAGCAGCTTGCTCATGAGTTGTCAACTTAACACGCTAAATCTTAAATGTACGTGTACATATAAAAGAAAAAGGGGCGCAGTGCTTGCTACTGAATGGCAACACTATCAAAGTCAGGAAAAAGTTTTAAGTAAAGCCGGGATTAAAACAGTAGCTACAAGAAGCTTCAAATAAAAGGTGTTCTTTATGTTCAACCTAAACACCAACTCCGATAGACCATCAGTAGAGCAGGTGTTTAAATTAATCAATCACTGCTGCGAAAGCTGATAGCAGTGAAAGCTAATATACCACAGCCATCACTTAATAAACGCAAAATAAACAACCCTCTAAAAACGGAAAACTGTAATGGACTGAAAGTCCTGTTTTTATGTGGGAAATTATTTGCGAGTGTTTTAGTATAATTCTGATATATTGGCGCTGTTGTCTGTTTCTATGGCAACGATACTGAATGTAGTGTAGCTTAGAGACCTGCATGGGTCGAGTTTTACCAACCCGCACCCGCCCGAACCCGTTAGGATGACGACCGAACCCGACCCGTCACCCGCGGATATCTTCAATTCAAATGTTATGGGGAGAGGTTGGAGGGGGGTGATGGGGAGAAAGCGAGAGGCAACAGATTCTTTTTTCTGAGTTTTTTTGTCGGGGTTTGTGGACGGTGAGCAGCGGGGAGAACTTTTTTTTTTATTTTCTTTCTGAGGAGCGGCATGAATGGGGTTTTTTAATTAGATATACACAGCACCGAAAGCAAAATACGTGTACAAAATATTGGTGGGGACATGTCCACACCAGTCCTTAAGGAAGTTACGCCTATGATTGTTCAGATTAACTTGTCTTCTTTATGGCTTTTATTCGGTGCTTTACTGCATTTGTTTTGGGAAAATATGAGGCAAAAATAAATACAGAAAAAAAAAATATATTTTTTAAAATCGCAAAATAATTATAGGGTGGCTAATGCCAAAGAAAGGGTGGCTGAAACCAACCTTAAATAGGTCTAACGACGCTTATGTGTTGCACCATACATGTTTCAAACTGACAGCAATCGTGTAACAGGAGCTCTTTCATTTAGCTCCTCAGATGCCTAATGCCTGCATGAGATAAGACGTTTAAAGGGCCAAACAGCTGCCAGTTAGCCTCTCCCCGCTCTTTTCATGACGGCTCTCACCAACAAAGCAAACAGGGAGTGGTTTAATCATGCTGAAGGCGACTCCGTTCAGCTGGCTGGCTCGTCAGGCTTGTTTGAGCTGCCTGGCAGCTGACAGAGTAAACAGAGGAAAAACTGCACTGCTTAGACTCAGAGGGAGAGAGAGGGGACTGAGTCAATCAAGAAGGAAAACCGAGGCGAAAAGAAAAAAAACCGAGGCGTGGGAACTTGGTGTGTTGAAAGTAAGAGTTTTCTTAGTGTGGAGAAAATCAGTGCAGAATGAAATCAGGGAGGATGAAGGCAGACTAGGTTCCTACCTGGGGGGTCAAATTAGAGCTGAAATCATACTAACCAGGCGTTTGCTCTTCTTGTTTTTCGACAGGACGATAGCTAGAATCCCCACGATGACGCCCTACAGGAAACACACTGATGAGATTAAAAGAAAATTACACATCAACCAAGACCAGCCTTGGATTTATCCAGTTTAACTCAACGCTAATGGGGTTTTCATGCCTCTAGTGCTGAGGAATTGTTGGCGTTCAGGAAGAACTGATCTTGTTGCACCTTCATTTCTAGATTATGCTTTAAAAGGTGTTTTCTTTTCAATTGCATTTTCAAGATAATATTCTAGTCTCTGCTTTCCTATGGAGTGAGGAGCAATGACACAATTATATTGGCCTCTTTTGAGTTTAAACTTTTGGTTTAAAGTAGGGCTGGGCAATATGTTTTACAAATTTAAATCTTTTTTGTTGTCGTTTCCCCCACCAAATCTGATTGATTAATTATTTTTTCTCACTTAAGTTTCATTTAAAAAAAACTAAACAAACAAACATACCATATAGCTACTGGTCTCAAAAACTTGCTTTGACTCCAATCATCCCCTTTGGGGGGTGACCTTCATTTAAAGGTCAACACAATTCAAGTTGTGAAAAATGCTGCAAAACAATCCAGTTTCACAACAAAGACTAAATGTTTGCAGCTGCTGGTGTCACACAGTGAAGCATATCAATTATAAAGAAACATCTAAAACGAAAAGTGACTAACTTATGTCTGATCTGTGGAAGCTCAAGGAGTGGATTAGCAAAAAAAAATGTAATCGTCATAAACCAAAAATTAAACCTTTTGCTGTAATTAAACCTTTGCTTAAAAAAAGCCTCTTGACCCAGATGACTTGGTCAATTATAGACCTATATCCAATCTTCCTTTCTTATCTGAAACTCTTGAGAAAGTAGTTGCCAAACAAGTGTGCGATCACTATCACCATAATGAACTTTTTGAAGAGTTTCAGTCTGGCTTTAGAGCTCATCATAGCACTGAAACAGCTCTGGTGAAAGTCACTAATGATATTCTCATGGGCTCGGATAATAGACTTGTATCTGTGCTCGTCCTGTTGGATCTCAGTGCTGCATTTGATACAGAGTCTTTGAAAAATAAGCTGATTAGCCAGTCACTTCATTTGGATGGGATTTAACTGATTTCAGATAATAAAGTAAAAAATCTTGGTGTTATTTTTGATCAGGACCTGTCATTTAAATCCCATATCAAAGAGGTTTCTAGAATTTCCTTCTTTCATCTGAGGAACATTGCAAAAATTAGAAATCTCCTGTCCAGGGGTGATGCTGAGAAACTAGTCCATGCATTTGTTACTTCAAGGTTGGACTATTGTAATTCTTTACTATCAGGAAGTCCACAAGCTGTAGTTAAAAGCCTTCAGCTGATCCAAAATGCTGCAGCCAGAGTTCTGATGAAAATTAAAAAGAGAGATCATATCTCTCCTATTCTGGCTTCTCTTCATTGGCTTCCTGTTAAATCAAGAATAGAATTTAAAATCCTCTTTTTCACATATAAAGCCTTAAATGACCAAGCTCCATCTTATATCAGAGATCTGATTGTTCCTTATGTTCCTAACAGATCACTTCGCTCTCAATATGCAGGTTTACTAGTGGTTCCTAGAATTTCTAAAAGTAGAATGGGAGGCAGATCTTTTAGTTATCAGGCTCCTCTCCTGTGGAACCAACTACCAGTTTTAGTCCGTGAGGCAGACACCCTGTCTACTTTTAAGGCTAGGCTTAAAACTTTCCTTTTTGATAAAGCTTATAGTTAGAGTGGCTCAGGTTATCCTGAGCTATCTCTATAGTTATGCTGCTATAGGCTTAGACTGCTGGAGGAAATAGGGATCTCTCTTCATCATTCTGCCTTATTCTATCTCTATTCTCCCACTCTGCAGTATTTGTTAGTTCAATTTCTAACTTTATGCTCTCTCTGCTTTTTCTCATAGTAGCTTCATCCGGTCTGTTCCTGTTTGGCTGTGACTCCATCCTGGAGAGAAATATCAGCTGTGCTGCTGCCGTCAACACCTTTGTTTATAGATGTTGGAGCTTGGCCTGTTTTTCAGTGTAGTCCTGTTTCTCTGGCCGTGACTGGCTGGATGTGCTCTCCCTCATCCTCTGACATGGGAGCTGGCTCGGAGCTCGTCGTCCTGGCTGTGTGTTTCCTGGACGGGGCCGCCTTTTACAGTCGCAAACCCCATTGGGCCTCAGCAGATGGCCGCTCACACTGAGCCTGGGTTTGTTGGAGGTTTCTTCCTGTTAAAAGGGAGATTTTCCTCTCCACTGTCATACAAGCATGCTTAGTGTGAGGAATTGCCTTCGAGTAAGTGAGTCAATACAATCAACTGGTTTTCCTTAGATAGAAAACTTTGAATCAATTTGACTGTATGATCTGGTTGAACTGTAGAGTGCCTTGAGATGACATGTGTGGTGAATTGGCGCTATAGAAATAAACTGAATTGAAATTGAATTGAATTGAAAATTTAACATAGCAGCCCAGGACAGGTCTATGTGAAGGCAAATACTTACAATAACACCTTAAAAATGACTATTTTTCTTTTGAGACTTTCCTTGAAATATTTTAGAGGGGTTATAAAAATGTTTAAGTAAGAAAAAATTAAAAAATTATGGTCGGTAAAAAAAATAACGCAAAATTGAAAACTAGAGTTCAGGAAGTGAAGCTTAAATAAAATCTAAAATGAAAAAAAGAAAACAGAAGCTGACAGATAAAAGTTGGAAATATTCCAACGCAGCATATAATATCCCATGATGGACATTTTATGCTGCCTCGCTGTAGAATCAGCTCGACACTCACCAACATCCCTGAGATGAGAGTGACCACGTTGGAGATGGCGTAGCCCATGCCTCGGGCCTTCTCGTGCAGGTTGATGTGCCTGAGCACGATGCCGTGCACCAGAGCTCCCAGCAGGAAGTTAACATGGCCGACCAGGATCAAGCTCAGACCCATCTTCATCAGGGTTAGGGGTTCCTCCAGGTTGTCACAACACATTCCTAGAGAGGAGAGTTGGGGTCAAGCTCTAAGTGAGAAGGATTACTGACAGCATTTCAGCTACGCTGACCTTTTCATGTCGATCAGGGAGAGAAGCTCTCCTGATCGATAACCTGTGTTAATGATTGGCTGCTGAGCACATAACTACAGTACAGTTTGAGCACAACCAGCCTGCAGAATGATCTATGTTTTGGTTTAAAACAATGGAGACCTGGTGGATATACAAGTTCTAAAAATATCCTCCAAGAGAACATTTCAATTCTCACTTTGGGTAGAATTAACAGTGATATTTATTATTATTAAAAAGATTAAATTAGTTTCATATAAAACTACCTAAAACTTTACATTTCAATATATTACTATTAATTTGGATCTTTAACCAAGAATGTAAGATTAGGACCTGATCAAAGAGTTTATTAAAGTCCTATAGACATCTTCTTTTAGCAGACATACGAGGTCAGTTTTCAGATTTATCACATTAAAAAACTAAAAATCTAATAAGGAAATTATCAAAACTAACCTGGCAAGTAAAGCCGGGCATTTATTTTTAGGTTATTGTTGATATAAATTTCTCATCTTAATAAAAATTGTTATTCATCGTCTAAACCAAGGGTTTTCAAAGTGGGGGTAGTTATCACAAGATGGTTTTTCACAATCACTGTAATGCGATACCTGAGTTATATGGAGGGCCAAAATATATAGATAAAAAACAGAAATGTGAATGAAAAATAAAATTTAGAAATTTAAAATGAAATAATTATTCAGGACATTTATTTATGCATTTATTTAATTATCAAATACATGATTCATATATAAAATTATAATTAAATGTCCTATTAAAAAATTAAAATAGGTTTAAAAAAGTGCAAAATACAAAAAAATGTAATTCAAAAACCAGAAATATTATTTAAAATATAAATAAATATATACAATTCAAAATTGTAAATGTGGATGAAAAAAAAAATAAATTTACAATGAAATAATTATTGGTAATATTTATTGATTGATTTATTTATCACATAAATGATTCAAACATTAAATTGGAATTCAAAGCTGTATTTAAAAATGGGAAAAAAGTTTTAAAAGATGCAAATAAATAAAATGTCATTCAAAAACAAAAAATATAATTTAAAAAAGAATAATTAAAATATAGCATCAAAAATCACAAATGTGAATGAAAAATAAAATAAAATAATTATTGGCAACATTTATTTATTCTTCAAACACATAATTCAAACATTAAATCAATGTTAAATGTGCCATTGAAAATAAATAGAAATAAGTTTCAAAATGTCAGTCAAGAAAAAATTATTTAAAATGAATTTATTTACTGATATTTATGAACAGATACATTTAGAGTAAAGTATTTAAACATATTTTTAGGGGATCTCAAGTCCTTTGCATCGTTATTTTTGGGGTCAAAGGCCAACATGTTTGGGAACCCCCTAGTTTAAATAATAAATACAAAAAATATAAAAATAAAAAGGATTATTTGTTTGAATTTTTATTGTACTTGCTTTCTTCTTTTTCTTATTTTCCTTTTCTTCTTGTCAAATTCTTATAATCTAATTGAATGTGGTCACGGAGAGATGTTTAGGGATATAAATTCACACTTGTTTATATAAATGGTGTCCTGAGGAAGCCCATTTCATGGGGCAATGATTCAATGCAGTCATAGTCATACAGTTCTGAGAAAGAAGGCTAAGAACTAATGAAGAGTTTGCTTTATTCTCACTTTTATCCTTATAACAACCAAATATAATGCTAAGATTTTAAGTTAATATACGGTATCCCAGCCCTATGGGATTCAGATTGAATATGTGTAGCACTCAAGTTTAATATTTTTATTTTTTATTTTTTAGACTAATTCTGCCATGTTTTTAATCAATACCTATATCGTCTAACGACGATATTTAATTCAATTAATTTCAGTTTATTTCTATAGCGCCAATTCCCAACACATGTCATCTCATGGCACTTTACAGTTCACCAGATCATCCTGTGAAATTGATTCAAAGTTTTCTATCTAAGGAAAACCAGTTGATTGCATCGACTCATTGACTCGAGGGCAATCCCTCACACTAAGCATGCTTGCAGCAACAGTGGAGAGGAAAAACTCCCTTTTAACAGGAAGAAACCTCCAGCAGAACCAGGCTCACTGTGAGCGGCCATCTGCTGGGGTTCATTTAACTATTATTTAACAGAACTAATTTTTTTTTTCTTACACCCCTACTTTTAGCAGATCAGGTAACAAACAAAAGTATCTCCATAGGAAACCAAAACAACTTTGGCTATTCCTCTTTCAATTATAAAAACGGTAATTTTGATCAAACAGATGTGATAGCAGCAGCTACATGTAGAGAAGCCATGTCTACTTCACTTTGGCTGTGAGTTCATCAGATCTATTTATCCTATTTAAACACATGGATTCAAGATGAAATTCTGTGTGCTGATGAATATACAAATATTGCAGAATTTCAGCTTATAGGAAACATGACATATCTGTGCAGGTATAGAATTTGGAAGGAAAGAAATTATGAATTTAAATGAATTTTGTTGCATCATTGTTGCAAGCAAAGAACGCTTTTGTAAACAGAAATACATTTAAAAAAAAAAAATCATTCTAGAGGTTTAATTTTAATACGACGGATTATTAGGGCCAGGTTAGAGATTTTCATTTTTTTTATTTTGAAAAAAAAGTTGTAATATTGCGAGAATAAAGTTGTAATATTATGAGAATAAAGTCAACATATAACAACCCTTTTCAGAAAGAAAGCTTTGAGCTCCGACCAGCAGATGATGGCCGAACAGCTCCACCAATCAGCAACCAGATTCCACTTTGACATTCTGCCCAATTTGATGCTGGTGTAAAAGATTTCCTTATTTGTCAAACCAGAGCCGAAGTATATCTTCCCATAATGCTGGACATTCCTTATTTTAGGCCAGACACTGCTTCTTGTAAGAGTTGCCATAAAATACAACTTTTTTTCTCGTAATTTTAGGACTTTATTCTCTTAATATTACGACTTTATTCTCATAATTTTATGAATATTCTCATTGTGACTTTTCTTTCTTAATATTACGACTTTATCTTCATAATTCTATTACTTAATTCATATAATGTTACGACTTTATTCTCAAAATAGGAGAAAAAAATCTCTAGCCTGGCCCTGGTACCTTAAAAATCTTTTTTTTTTAAAGCTTTAAGAGTAACTGCTGTTTTCGTTAAGATTTTGTTTTCTCAATTTTTTTTAATCCTTTTTTTCAAATTTTACAGTTTACAGTTTCAAACTTTATTTTCTGCTGGAGATTTACAGATGAAATTCTCCTCTCTTCAAGTCCAATACAGACAGATTCTATTGGATAGATGGAACATATGGACGGTAGCTACAAACGTTTTAATGGTTAAGAGCAAAAGCTTGTATTTAGCCTGAGGTGAAGAGAATAGAAACTAAATGCCAATTTGAAAAATACACAATTCTTAAAATTTAATGAGCAAAAGAGAAATTTGAAAAGAATAAAATTATTTTTTTCTTTAAATTATAAAACAAAGTTATTTGAAAAATAAAATCTAAGGAAACAGGAGTATTACTCTTCAAACATTTTTAATACGTTTCTGGATTGTAGATTTTTACAAATTTCCTCTTAGAAATCTTGGTCTTTGCTTCAATAATTTGAGAATAATTTGCTTGCGTTGCTTTCAAAGTTCAGTTCATAATAAAAGTCCAGCCCCTTCATAACGCTGAGGAATTCATTGTTATTCAAACCTATTCCCGCCGTCAGAGGAAAAGTTCAAATGTTGTTGTGTCCTTTGTCAAAACACGTCACCTGCATTGCCTACTGATGCTGGTCAGAGGGCCCAGTGACGCTTGTGTACGACAGCCCTCCTTCTGTCAGTGAGCCCCAGGGCAGCTGTGGCTACAGCATGGCGTGCCACCATCACTGTGAATAACTGAATGCAGCGCAAAGCGCTTTGGGTAAGTCTCCTTATTTAAAACTCCTCTGTATAAGTACAGGGCATTTACCCGATTATTAAAGTGACAAGTTAGGTCTAAATTACAAATCCACTTCTAATTTTGTCTTTAACCCTTTATAGGGCACTCAGTGAAATACTTTGAAAATCCAAATTTCAAGCCAATAGTGTTATTGGAATATGGATATTTTGATGGCAAAAATCAATAACAATGTAAGAACAAGAAACTCCAACTTGCCCCAATATATTAAGAAAAATTTAAAAAGTGCTTCCATAAGAAATTCATGAAAAACACATTTTTTTTTGTACAACATAACCTTAGAGGCATTAATGCTGATACGGGCACTTACACTCACCGGCCACTTTATTAGGTACCCCATGCTAGTAACGGGTTGGACCCCCTTTTGCCTTCAGAACTGACTCAATTCTTCGCGGCATAGATTCAACAAGGTGCTGGAAGCATTCCTCAGGGGGTTTGGTCCATATTGACATGATGGCATCACACAGTTGCCGCAGATTTGTCGGCTGCACATCCATGATGCAAATCTCCCGTTCCACCACATCCCAAAGATGCTCTATTGGATTGAGATCTGGTGACTGTGGAGGCCATTTGAGTACAGTGAACTCATTGTCATGTTCAAGAAACCAGTCTGAGATGATTCCAGCTTTATGACATGGCGCATTATCCTGCTGAAAGTAGCCATCAGAAGTTGGGTACATTGTGGTCATAAAGGGATGGACATGGTCAGCAACAATACTCAGGTAGGCTGTGGCGTTGCAACGATGCTCAATTGGTACCAAGGGGCCCAAAGAGTGCCAAGAAAATATTCCCCACACCATGACACCACCACCACCAGCCTGAACCGTTGATACAAGGCAGGATGGATCCATGCTTTCATGTTGTAGACGCCAAATTCTGACCCTACCATCCGAATGTCGCAGCAGAAATCGAGACTCGTCAGACCAGGCAACGTTTTTCCAATCTTCTATTGTCCAATTTCGATGAGCTTGTGCAAATTGTAGCCTCAGTTTCCTGTTCTTAGCTGAAAGGAGTGGCACCCGGTGTGGTCTTCTGCTGCTGTAGCCCATCTGCCTCAAAGTTCGACGTACTGTGCGTTCAGAGATGCTCTTCTGCCCACCTTGGTTGTAACGGGTGGTTATTTGAGTCACTGTTGCCCTTCTATCAGTTCGAACCAGTCTGGCCATTCTCCTCTGACCTCTGGCATCAACAAGGTATTTCCGCCCACAGAACTGCCGCTCACTGGATGTTTTTTCTTTTTCGGACCATTCTCTGCAAACCCTAGAGATGGTTGTGCGTGAAAATCCCAGTAGATCAGCAGTTTCTGAAATACTCAGACCAGCCCTTCTGGCACCAACAGTCATGCCACGTTCAAAGTCACTCAAATCACCTTTCTTCCCCATACTGATGCTCGGTTTGAACTGCAGGAGATTGTCTTGACCATGTCTACATGCCTAAATGCACTGAGTTGCCGCCATGTGATTGGCTGCTTAGAAATTAAGTGTTAACGAGCAGTTGGACACATGTACCTAATAAAGTGGCCGGTGAGTGTACATTTTTTAGTTTATAAACCTAAATATAATTGTTAACTAGGCTTATTAACTTTTTAACTTTTCAATTGGCTTTTTACCATTTTTTTTCTTGACTTAACTTTTTTTTTCAAATTAATTTACAGTAGTTAATATATCATTCAAAGGCTCATCTAATTGGTCAAATAGGCCAAAATAAGATGTGCAGCCATGTAGCAGCATCTTTACTGAATGGCTGGATATAGATCTTGTGCTTCTAGACCTCACTGAGGGACGGGGGTATAGTTGATAAAACCATTCGTCATTTGTTCAGATCAATTATGTTTTTGATAAAAATCCTTTCACTTAAAATGCAATCAGAACACTTATAATATCAAGTGTGTCTCAGCCCCCCTTTCAGTGTCCACCATATTGGATCAGTCTATTTACTGCACACGTTCAGAAAGGTCCAAACAGACAGAAGCAAACCATTTGAAAACAAATGGGGCGAAGAGCAGTGCTGCCAACTTTTCAGACCCCTCTAGCGCTTTTATTAAAAAAAAAAAAAAGCAGCTAGTGCCAAACGTAGCAACTTTTTTCTGCTACTGGCCTTTGGCGACAACATCTAAAAGCAGCGAACTCTGCTCTCCAGAGCGAGTAGATTGGTAACCCCGCCTCCTGCTCTCCTCTATCTCGTCTGCTGTCATGATTCATGCAGCTATTATTTCATAAAAATGAAAAAATGGAGAACAGATCAGCAGATCATGGCTTGTCTACAAGGAAAAGAAGGACTGGGTTATTTACTGTTGGCGTCGTCTTTTTGGAAACACAGGAAGGAGCAATCAGCTAAGTGACGTTAGTGAGGAAAACAACAAGAAAATAGACAAGAGAGAGACAAAATGTAGAACAAATAATGTATGTCTATTCTATTAAAATTTCTTTATCTGTATAATTGGTCTGTTTTATGTGTTGTCCTCTCAATTTAGAGGGCCCCATGCCTGTTTTAGCCTAGGGCCCCAAATTTCTTAACCCCGCCCCCGGATTAAAGGCAGCAAAAAAAAAAGAACAAAATGATACCATAAGAATTTAGCAAAGTATATTAATATTAAGAACTGTGACTAAATAGCAGTTTTGAGTGCTTCTTATAGATAAAATAAACAACAAATAAAACTTAATTAAAATATCTCATAAGGTGTGGTATGGAGCAAAACTCCTCAGCCAGTCTTGGAATTTCACTCATTTGTTTACTTATCTTAAAACTCATTCAAAAAAATCTGTTTATCTCTACTAGTTTACTGGAAAATAAATGAAAACAATAAAAGCTTTGCACATGTTAAATAGTTTGATGAAGTAGTTCACCCAGTCCAAACTGAATCTGATATAATCAAGTCTTTTAGTCTTTAGAAGGAGAGGAATTCCAGTGAGCTCAGCTCAGACCTACTGAGGCAACAGCTTGAGTTTGGCAGGGCTGCTCAACAGGATGTTTGAGGCTGCAGATTCCAAACAAACCTGCCCTTTCACAGTCACAGCATAAAATCATCCCTAATGACACACTGGTTGCTTAAAACAACTCTAACATACTTTAATATTATAATAGAGTAATTAGGCAGGTTTTTTTTTAGCAGATATATAACCAAGCAAACCCAGCAGGGCCTGAACTAACAGAGAAAGTGTCCCTGTGGGCAGACAGACAGACAGGTGAGCGTGTTGTTACCTGCACAGCCCATCTCTGCTGTTTTAGGTCACCATGCGGCTTGTCTGACTGCGGATCCTGAGTGACTGGAACCAGCCTGCCAACTCCTGCTGCCTTCAGCCCAAACACCTCCTCTGGTCTGACAGGACAGCTGGCCTCACACTGCCCTTCAAAATAAAAGCAACACCTGTGGGAGAGTTTCAGTTTTCTCCAACTAAGAGAACAAATAAAATAAAAACAGCGTTGATATTGAAAAAAAAGCTAAATCTAATATTAGTTTCTCATTTCAGTGCACATCCAACATCGGCTCAACTTTGATGTTAAGCACTTGTGCTTTTACTTTGAAGGTCCACCGAATTAGCAGAGAACTTTTGCTTTCATGTTAAAAAATTGTTCCTTTTTAAAGAATGGCTTGTGTTGTGGGACAGTTCTTTTACAGATTTTTGCAAATATTTAATATTAGTTAAATATTTAATTTTAAATAAATGAAATTTTGAGAGCCAAATACCACAACTAATAAATTATATATTAAATCCAGATTTATTTAAATGCATCAAAATGATGTTATACCTAATTAAAAAAGGCATGACTAACTATTTCTAAGACTTTCTCCACAAGCCATTTAGGGGGAAAAGCAGAGCATGAGTTGCCTTTGATTAGAATTTAACAAGGTGGTGGCAGCATCATGCTGTGGGGATGTTTTTGTTCTTAAGAGATAAGTTAACTGGATTAGATTTAATTTGAAGCACACTAAGCATACTAGAGTAGATATGAGCAGGTTGAGTGGTTTCAAAAATGATGACTATATGCAGGGGCAGAGATAGGGGAGGGGGAGCATGACCACCCATAGTCCCCCCTCTATCTCTGCCCCTGTAGACCACTCTGTACCAGGTGATTTTACTGTTTACATGTGGATGTAATACACAACAAGCAGTTCTCATCTAAACCAGGGGGTGGCAGCAGTGATAGCATCATGTAGAATGTCCTATTTTGACATTTTCAAGTTAGTATATTAACCAAAATCCAAAAAAAAAACAAAAAAAAAACATATATATATATATATATATATCTCGAAAGTAATTGTTCACAGTAATGTACTATAATTAAAGAAGACTAATAACAATTATGCTATTTTAAGAATTATTTTTTGTGTTACAATGGGGAAGAGATTGTTTCTACAGTCATCAAGGAGTACTTTATTTAATTAACATTTTTGCTGTTTTTGACAAAAACTGGTGGAGAAAGACTCCAAAAACCAAGCATCCTTCTTTTTATATTGGTTGTACAAATCTGACGCTGTGAGGATGAATAGATATGGGGGAATGTGTGTTTCCTGGATGGGAAATTCCATTGGGACCAAGTAGCACTAAGTTAGTGACTTAGAAACAACACTGTCAAGGAACGCTATGGACAGAGGAAACATGCAAGAGGAGGAGAGTTTAGTGTCGGAGGCCATGGATGAGTCTCCTCAATCATACATTTTTTATTTAGAGGAGGAAAGCAAGGACCAAGATGTTACAGAAGAGGACGCCAGGGCGGCAGAATGATTCCACCTTTAAATATGATTTCCCTTTGACTTTAAAGTAACTTAATGGAATAGTACTCCCAAAACATGATTAGCCTTCATTTTCTACTCACCCCCATGCTGAACAACACTCTGGAGCACTTTTTTGATATCTCAAATGCATCTGGAGATCTGGGAGGCTTCTTGCTGTCTGCTGACATTCAAATAATGGAGGTCTATGGCGCCCGAGACAGAAAGGTCCATAAAAGTCCACAAAAAACGTTTCAATATTCCTCCATACTGCTCGTCCAATGTATTCCAAGTGTCCTGAGTGGGTAGCATCCAGAATTTACTCGAAACGAAGTCATTTAGAATGTTTTTAGAGCATAAACAGTAGTGTATAGGATTTCCTGAAAGCGCGCGCCGGCGCGTTCATGAAGCTACGGAAACCGCGGCAGACCAAGCCAGATGAAAGTGCGCATTCAGCTCGGCAAAGAACTCATGCTCTTCCTCAATACTGAAGTCCTCAGACATTTTTCTTTCGTTGTTTCTTTCTTTGCACAGGTAAACAGCACATTTCTTCTTCTACGCTTGCATTATTGGCAGAGCAGACGCTGAATGCGCACTTTCATCTGGTTTGGTCTGCCGGCTTCCGTAGCGTCATGAACGCGCCGGCGCGCGCTTTCAGGAAATCCTATACACTACTGTTTATGCTCTAAAAACATTCTAAATGACTTTGTTTCGAGTAAATTCTGGATGCTACCCACTCAGGACACTTGGAATACATTGGACGAGCAGTATGGAGTAATATTGACACGTTTTTTGTGGACTTTTATGGACCTTTCTGCCTCGGGCGCCATAGACCTCCATTATTTGAATGTCAGCAGACAGCAAGAAGCCTCCCAGATCTCCAGATGCATTTGAGATATCAAAAAAGTACTCCAGAGTGTTGTTCAGCATGGGGGTGAGTAGAAAATGAAGGCTAATCATGTTTTGGGTGTACTATTCCTTTAATATGATTAGGTAAATGCCAAAAAACAGATGCATTATATTCTTCAGTGCAGATCTAAACTGAAAACAGACATCTTCACTCACTCCTGGTTCTCTGTTATCAGTTCATTGTGGGAGTTCTTGGAAGTCTTATGTTTGAGAAATTTGAAGTAAAACAAACATCAAGCTTTCAAAAACAGCTCACCATTCGGTTGCTGTAAATCGTCATTAATTAATAACTAATACAATAAACCTCTAAAGACTAGGTACTTGGACCTCAGCTTGAGAACCAGAGGATTAGGGGATAAAACAGTTTGCAAAATTCGGACAAAATCAGTGCTTTAAAGGTTAATTTGAGTAAAAGGCGTGGAGATGATCAGCCTGTGGTTCTGCTGAGCTGTAATGGAAGTTCTGGTTTCTTTCAGGTCATCTGATAAAGCCCTACATATTCTCAACTGGGTTCAGGTCAAGTTAGTTTGCTGGTTAGCGGCGCAGAGTAACATCCTGGTCATTGAACCAGCGTTTGGAACCAAAGTGTGCGGAGGTGCAAAGTCCTACTGGAAAATGAAACCAGCATCTCCAGCAGCAGAAGGGAGCATGACCCGCCTTTCGTTGTGACATCATCAGATCTGTTGCTTTGAGACTTCTGGTCGCACAGTGGTGAATTTTAACCAACATCTACTTCGATAGATGCTTATGTTAAAGTTAGGAGATGGTTAAAAAATAGAGATGCCACCGAAAAATCTGTTTGTTAGACATATGGAGCTTATTTAACAAAAATGGCAACAGATTGTAAGTTTATACAAGTTAGTATTATAATGCAAGAAGCTTGAGAAAATATAGTTTAAATGTTTTGTTCTTTACAAAAAAATCTTGGCTTGTCAGAGGACCATAAATCACAGTTACAGGTTGAAATTAACACGTTTTCTTACTGATCCGATAAATTCAGACTGCAGAGCTTCTACATACCTTGAAATTTTGTTTCTGGCCTCATTATACTGGTAAAGAGGTTTATAAATCTTTTTAAACAGAGCACAGAGAGAAGTGGGGAGAGCTGCAGATTTAATGGTGAAACAGATTTACTAGGATATGCAACATGCAATAAAATATATCTCCAAGTTTACCAGAAAGATTACAAGAAAAATCTGCTATGCTATATTTAAAATGAAGTATATCCATATTATTCTGGATGGATGGAATTGAAATTGTACTTCTAGGGATGCATAATATATAGATTTTAGCATCGTAATCAGCTCTTATTTGTTATTTTTATACATTCATGTTTTTGGGCCCTATACATGTAATGCACTAAAAGGCATCTCTCTAACTATCTATAAATATAAATATCAGTGTATTTTGGTCCTCCTCTGTTCCAGTTTGGCTGTGACTCCATCCTGAAGAGAAAATCAGCTGTGCTGCTGCCATCAACACCTTTGTTTATAGATGTTCGAGATCTGCCTGTTTTCCAGTGTTTCTCTGACTGTGACTGGCTGGATGTGCTATCTTCATCCTCTGACATGGGAGCTGGCTCGGAGCTCATCTTCCTGGCTGTGTGTTTCCTGGACGGGGACGCCTTTTACAGTTGCATTCTTTATCTCTGCTTCTTTCTGTATCTCTGCTTCTGTCTCCTTGACTCCCAATCGGCCTCAGCAAATGACCGCTCACACTGAGGCCCCCGTCCACACGAAGTCAAAACGAACACGAAACGCTAATATTTTCCAGAACGTTTGTCGTAAAGACGGAGACGTAAAATAAATGTGATCGTCCACATGAATGCATGAAAACGCTGCAAAATGTATGCCAGGCCTGTAAGTGGCGCTGTGGTGCCAAAGCAAAAATAGGCAAAAACAGGCAACGAAATGTTGGGCATGCGCAGTAATATTTATACAACAACCAAACCGGAAAACCCCTGCGGGTCCATTTTCGTGGTTCAGTCAAATTCAGGTGCTGAACTATGTCGTCGATATTGCTCTGTTCTTCCTGGAGATATTCCAGAAGAAGAAGATTCTGTTGTAAGCCCGACAGCAGGGTGAGTAGCATGAGCAGCAACCATTCAACACAGTACGGCGCCATTGTTGTTGTGATACTGTGTCGCGCATGCGTGTTTAGAGGCGACGCTATGACGCATGCGTGTAAGGAAAAAAATGTGGTTAGAGCTTAAAGATGGAACCGCGAAAACAGCGTTTCAAAATCTTCCCACTCTGAAGGCTTAATAAAAAAAAGATCGTTTACAGACCCCCGAAACGCCGGCTTCGTATGGATGAGAGGCTGGTTTGGTGAAAAATGTGTGCGTTTAGGCCAGGGTTTGACTTCATGTGGACGGGGCCTGAGCCTGGTTCTGCTGAAAGTTTGTTCCTGTTAAAATGGAGTTTTTCCTCTCCACTGTCGCTACAATCATGCTTAGTGTGAGGGATTGTAGTTGAGTCAATGAGTCAATGCAATCAACTGGTTTTCCTTACATAGAATCAATTGAACTATACGATCTAGTGAACTGTGAAGTGCCTTGAGAAGACGTGTGGTGAATTGGTGCTATAGAAATAAACTGAATAGAAATGAATTATCTTGTGTTCTCAACAATAGGAAAGCATGCAATAAATATATGTTTTAGCTCATTTTTGGAAAATACAAAAACCGAATGTAATGTCAAGTAACTGTAGGTTCATCAAC